GGCGGGGGTGGAAGAGGCCTCTTGCGGGCACTTCTTCGAGCACTTCCTCGAGCGCCGGCGCCGCTTGGCGGGAACCTTGAAGGGGGAGGGCGAGGTTGGAAGCGGGCGTGCGCCTCAGGCGGGGGCTTCCTCGCCCGCCCCAGGGCCGCGCGTGTCCGTGGAGAAAGATGGGCGGGTGTAGTAGGGGTGTCGGCGTGGAGGGTGTTTCTGCTTGGTGGCCCCTCGCCTTCGCCGCGGGCATAAAGTGCGCGGGTCCAGCCGTAGGCCCCAGTGTCATTGGCCGGCAAGGGAAAGACCCTGAGGGTCCGGGAGGCACATGGAGGTCCCGGTCTCCGTCACGGGCAGCGACCGGGGAGGTGGCTCTGGGCCGTGCTTTGGGTGAGGAGGAGAGGGCGGCTTGGGGGGGAGTACTATTGGTGCTCGGCTATCGCAGGGTAGCTGACTCTAGGCCGGCGACACCGAGGTGTTCTTACTGGAGGGATCATTCCAAGGAAACTTTTCTGTTAATGTTTTTTTTTGTGGTTGGTTTGTTTGTTTTTTCTCTTTATGTTTTTTGCCAGTGTCTGTGGCAATTGCTTTTTGCCATCACAGGGGGTTTGTTCTAAGAAATGTATGTTGCATAAAATAATCTCTTGTACCTTTCTACTTTCTTTGCTTTTATTTACAGAACTTGTGGATAAATGCATAGGTTCACGCATTCATATTGTGATGAAGAGTGATAAAGAAATTGTTGGAACCCTTCTAGGATTTGATGACTTTGTCAGTATCCTTTGATGGAAATGTTTGCGACTGTCTATGCTTTGGCTCAATTCATTTATTGCTTTTGCTAGGTTTGAGTTCACTGCGTAAACCTTTTTTGTATTAATTAATTGTATTATTCTGGTGTTGTTATTTTGCCAATAAAATCACAGTTCAGTATAAAATGAAAATACCTTTAAATATTTTTATTTGAGAATCCTGGAGCTTATTTTCCTTGAAACTGGATTTTCAGATATGGTGTTGGAAGACGTTACAGAATTGTAAGTATTATTTCTGCCTCTTGTTGCTATTTTATGTTTGGTATCTTGAGGAAAGATAGCGTGTAAGATCTGTAAGCAAAGCAGTTTTATATTTTTTTTATACTTGCCAGCTGAATAGTTTATACTTAAAGACTTAAACTATAGAGGGTGATCTATTTAGATCAGCCATTGAGTTGCAGTTTCATGATTTATACTTGTAATTGGATTGTAATATGTAGCTTTAATTTTGCATGAGTTATATTTTGAATTTTCCAGTGGCTTGTTTGCTTTTAAATGGCCTTAAGGTCTAGGCAAAGATTTAAAAAGTTGACAGAGTTAAGGATAAGTATTTCTTACTTTGTCATGCCATGTTGTTATTTGAAACCTATTTTGAGCATCGGTGGTATTCAAGAAGTTGTAAAGATTTAGAGGGTAAATCTGTATCTTTACATACTGAGCAGAAAAATAGATCTTTTCAGTTGCCAGGTAGTTTTCTTTATCCAGGTGGTCAGTTTATCAGGATGACGCTGCAGTGTGGCTGATTTACTCATTAGTTCCAACAGATGTCATTAATGCAGAGATTTATGTCAGTGCTGTAATCAAAACTGGAATCACTGTCCCTGGTTACGTGTTCTTTCTTACTTTTTCTAATGCTGCTACAGTGAGATTACACCAGAGGGCAGAAGAATCACAAAGCTAGACCAGATTTTGCTAAATGGAAATAATATAACAATGGTAAGTCGTCACTGGTAAAAGACTGCATGCATTTATTTTCTGTACCTGCAAATCGATCAGTAGCTGGGTTCAGCTACTTCAAGCTGAGATTTCCAGACAGTTCTGTTACATAAGCTACTTTAAAGTAGCTACTGGGGCATATGTGTGTATAGATGATGCTGGAGAAATGATCTGATTGCCTGATTTGGTACATGTTACATTAAAAAAAAAAAAAGACACTTTCTTTTGGTGCATGCTTCAGGTGTGCGAGGGAGTTGCTGGCTTTGTTACCCACTGGTTCATACAGTGATGAGTGTTTCCCTGCATAAGTATATAGGATGGGATACATCTGCATTTCATCTGCTATTGTACATGTAGCTGTGTTTGCAGCAGTTTGGATGCTTACAGAGTTGTCAAGTTATTTAGCAATTTTGGTACGATGTGATGCCTGGAGAGCTGTGCCTTTACGTGCTCTGGGAAAAAACCATACCTAGAGGTCTGTTACATTATCAAAATCACAATGAGTTTTAGTTTATCATGTGCTGATGTATGTAGACCCGTACTGAAACTAATTAAATACTGTGATTATGCATCCCTAAGCTGAATTCTGCAACCTCCTAAATGCCACAAAAGCAGACCCACAGTAGTTTTCTGCTTGTCTGCATAGATGCCTGCAAGGTCTGGACTTCCTACATAAGGACATTCTTAATTTGGTGGGAAGAGAAGAAGAAGGCTGACTTGAGTCTAAGTGGGCTCTGTGTGAATGAGGAACCATCTCCATTTTGCCGTCTTACCTACCTTGCACCTCCTTGCTGTGTGTCTGAGCAAGTGCTATCTTGGCTTAATTTCTAAGCCTGTTTCTGCTTTGGTTATGGTTTTGCATCCTGAAAGGATAGTGCATGTTCTGACTTCTTCTGTGAGGTGAAATTACTAGCATCCAGTTAAGCTGGTGGTCTACTGCCCTTGAAGCAGAAGCTGATGATTCTTAGAGTGCAAATTTTCAGCGAGACATAGATATGGTTTTGTTATTAGATCTTGTGTCTTTTGGGGGTGTATCTTCCCATGTTAGGAAGACAATGTTTTAGTCTTTTCCTTACTTCAGTCTCGAAAGCAGTGAAGCTTTTTGTCTTTAGAAGTGCTCAGGTATTTATGAAGACTATATCAGTAAAAGGAATGGTTATCCTCTTCTTTTTTCCTTATTAATGTTTTTTCTTCTGTATTTCTGTTTTTATTGTTCCGTTCTTTCTTCACAAGAAAATGCTGTGCTGACTTATCCCCTGCTGCCTGTAGAAGGCTTCAGGCTTTTTAATAGTTTTTGGACTCTGCTCAGTAATGAAAGTTGTGAAGAGGAAACAAGCTTCCCAGTATAGCGACAGTCTGGGAAAGAATCAGCAGCTGGAGAAATCCTTCATGAAAAGAAGCATGTTCTTTGTTCTTTTAAAAATGAGCTGTAATGTTTCTAGTCAGAATAATTTCCTTGAAGTGAATAACAAAGACAAAAACCAAAGTATGTGTTATCCAGGATCTCCTTTGTGTTTAGTTAAACTTTCTTTGTATTTTGGAGATTCTTTCTGGCATATGCTTCTTTGGCAGTAACTGACTTCCTCTGTTGGGAAAGGAAGATAATACTGAATCTGAAACCCATTTTTGTGGTCTATCATGAAGTCTTCATCTGCTAAAATGTTGTAAAGCAAGGACTGCCACGTATGGGTTAGTGAAACTCAAATATATGGCACTAACACAAAACTGTCTTACTCTTTTGTAGCTTGTTCCTGGAGGAGAAGGACCTGAAGTATAAATTGATACAGTTGTCGTCTATGAAGACATGTTATATGTATATACATAATCTAAATAGAGCTTTTGGGGTATGAATGTGGATGGGTTTTGGTGTGGGTTGGTCATTTGTTGTTTTGTTGTTTACACACTCTTGCAGTTGACATTTGATAGAAGACAAGGATTTCCTCTTCAGGACAAGTGCATTGTTAATGATAACGCGGACTTTGTAAGTTGAAATCATTACTTTGTTGTAAAGATGCACCTATCTGTTCTGAATAAAAGGTTTTCTTTTTGTTAGTTACTGTGTTCTGTTATGGAAGTGCACAAGTTAGATAGTTTTGTAACTGGTTGATAGGAAGGAAAAATAATAGTTTTGTTTCATTTGCTGTCAGTCTTCAGTTTTTCTACCTCTGTTGCATTTGTTTATGGCCCAAGTCTACATAAAACACAAGTTGTGAGCCAAGAGATTGCTATTATTCAGAGTACAGGCAGATACTATTCTGAAAGCTCTTCAAAGTAGATGCATCTGTTTGATGCTTAGCAGCCTTGGGTTCTGCTGGCCTTGAGGTTCACCTCTCTTGAACTTCTTTTGCTTGGTTGGTATACTCTCTTACAGTAAAGGCATTGTAACAGTATTTGGCAAGCAAGGACTGGCAGACCAAACCGAGTTAATGTTCAGAGGGTTAAAAAATAAAAAAAAGCTGGTGTTAAAAGTTAGATTTGTGTCAACAGTTACTCCGTTTGCACCACGGAGAGGTGCTGTGTACACTCAGTTAACTAAGTGGTAGCTGCCTGTGCTTGCTGGTGTAGTTAGTAATTTTAATTTTCTTTTGGCAGCATCTGTTCTCCTGATATAAGAACTCAGATATTGGGGGCACCTGCTACTTCAGGAGAATTTCTATAAAATAAGGAACTGCTGTATTTATTTTGTCATGATGGACAGAAACTTCTCCTGATTCCAAATCATGTCCACTGCAGCTCATGCTCCCATGATACAGTACTCAACTGATTTCTTTGTGTAGATGTCTTTGAAGAAGAATCACAGATTCCTGCTCTTACTACAGGCACAAGCAGGGTAGACCATGGGCTTAGAGGTATAGGACATGTTGCCTTTCCATCACCAGAAGAAGAAAGAAGAGATGAAGTAGGAGGCTGAGGAGCAAGAGACCGCAAGGAAGTTGCTGTACTAGATCCTCTTGCCTTGCTTTACCTGACAGAAAAACTGCCTTCTGCTGACTGAGTCTTACCTGGAAATACAGTGATGACTTCTTGCTTTAGCTTATTAAAGGGGAAAGAGGCTCCCTGCCCTCTCCTTGGGAGCGTGCTACTTCTGACTTGCTTGTTCTGAATATATGATCTGTGATCGTCATGTTTAGATTGCATGGTGACAACCTATGCCATTGAGTCCCTGAATGGTTTTTCACTTCTGTCCCCATTTTCATCTTTTTTTAATATATCAATTTTAATACATCAATTAAAAAAATACTACTTTTTTTTTAAGACTTGCATTTGATTGGAACTTCTGTCCATTTTGGCACCAAACACTGTTTCATAGAAATAGGTTGAGTCTTTTCATCAGAACACTTAAAAGATTTCTAGCCAGTGTGTTGGGGTTTTTTTTGACTAGGATTCTATATGTGTTCCAGTGTGTGAACTTAACTTCTATTTCGCTCCTTATTTTGAAAATGTTCTTAAACTGAAGAGAGGCTTCATGCTTGGGAGAGAAAATGAGCCGCTCTTGACTCAAAAGCAACTTTTCAAAGGGAAAGGTAAATTGTTTTGTTTCTTTTGGGATTTTTAATTTTGACAGCACCAACCTTTTGTTCTCTCAGGATTTTGTCATAGCTGGAAAAAAAAAATATTGCCTCACTTCCTCCTCCTCTGACTGTGGTTTCTTTCACTCCCTCCAGAGAAAGTGCTAAGACTTATCTTTTAGGGAGGCATTTTAATTCATGACTTGGAGGTCTACAGGCGTCACTCTAAAAGACAGCTTCTGTGCATTCAAATGCTATTAATCCCTTATAATATGAAAGGAAAGATTTGTAATGTTGAGCTGAGAATTCAAAGCATTTTAGATGAGTCTGGTTTACTTGAGGTTCAGTATTCCTGTGGAGTACAAGTAATAGGTTTTTTCAATTGAATAAATCAGGGATGGTGGTTTTTGTTTTTCCTCCCCTAGAATTCTAGTGCTTAATCATACTGCACTGTCCTGTAGAAGTTGTGGGTGCAGTGATGGTCACCATGCTAGTTAGGTTGCCATTACAAGTAGTTAATTTAAAATAGTCTTAGGCTTTAAAAATACATAAAATACATAGAAGTAAGTGATGCTTAAAGTTTAGAGCAGAGCAGACATCAGGTTAAAATGACTTCTCCATGCTTATGACCTGCAGTGTGAAGGTTCCTTTCAGGTTGGTTTGGTTTGGTTTGGTGTGGAGTTTTTGTTGTTTTTTTTGTGTTTGGTTTGTGTGTGTGAGCGTGTATGGAAATAGAGACTTAAAGTGCCTTCACTGTATCCTTAGTTTTTGCTGACCTGTATTTCAGCGTTATCAAGATTTTAAACTGACCCAAAAAAGGCTGTTGCAAATGCTTCCATGTTTCTGTAACTAAACTGATGAAATAAAAATAAAGTAATTAAAAAAATTCAAAACACTAAATGTTTTATCACTTGCCTTATAACTATACAAGCTTTCCCTGTCTAGTATCTATCCCCCTTTTTAAGATTCACTCTGCTTTCTACCACATGAAATGGAAAGAGGTTTCTGGCTTTCTGTTGGTTTCTGGTGGTTTTTAATAGACTTATCCTTGGGAAATTGCCCAGCAATTAATTAATGGAGTTTGGAATTCAATTGATGGACATTTTGCATGCCTGGGTTCAAATACCAATGCTAACGAGCCATCATACAGTTCATGTTCATAGCTTTATGGATATGTAAAGATAGGCAGTATTTTTTGTTGTTTTTTTTTTGGTTTCTGGTTTGTTTTGGGTGTGTGGGCTGTTTGTTTTTTTTGTTTGAGGTTTTTTTTGTTTCATTTTTTTAGCGATGCTTATTCTTTTCTTTGGCAAGAACAAGTAAGTCCACCTGGTTTTTGTAGTGCTTGCAGTTTTTCCTTATCAGACTTTAAAATGGGGAAAGCCTGTATCAAGTACACAGTTATGATGGTGATTTTTAAAATACTAAGTTGCCGAACTGTTGCAGGATAAATGTATGACTATGAGGGAGAGTCTGTGGTGCAGCATTACTAACATTTGCTAAAAAAAAAAAATGTTTGGAAGAATGAAGCATTTGTGTTATGAAAGTTACTTGGCCATTTCTGATGCTGCTGAGCTTTACTGAAAAATTTACACTGATTTCAGTGGTTATGAAAGTTTGATTTCTGCTCATGCATTGAATTTGAAAAGAACAGAAACCTGCATTTGAAGGAAGATTCTGTATGAAGGGTAATGAAACTAGTAACCGGCTATAACAATTACTTCAAAACATTCGGAGCATTGTATAAAGGCAAATAAGTAAAGTTTATCATATGCTTCTGCATCAGCTGTGGCTATTGAATACAGTGTGCAGGCCACCTCAGAACTTGCAGGCAACCAACTGGAACATGTGAGTTGTAAGACCTCGCTGTCATAAGCTGACGGGACATGGTCTCAAAGCATAAAGTGCTGTAAGTTCAGTTTCTTGCGTGGCAGGGACTCTTCAATAAGAGTAACTATAGAACAGGGTGAAAGACAAACTTAGCGAATAATTGCGTGGTTATCAAAATAGCTGTTTGCGTCTCAACATGATGCAGATCCTTTCTACAGTGATGGCATTAGCACATGTCTTGGAATTCGGCTGATCCTCTCTTAAAATTATATTGGCCTCCACTACACCCTTGACAATGTGATTCACAATGGAAAAAATATTTCCTTTTAAAAAAAAGAAAAAAAAAAAAAGGAAAGAACAAGGAGTGGAAGAAGTAGTAAGAAGTCTGTTGGCTTCCAGTGTTGTGGGCTGCTCACTCATTTTTCTGTAGAACTCCTGGGATTTATTTTTTTTTCTACATTAGCCTACCCTCTGCACCTTTGGTCGTCTCCTGAAGTTTGTTTGTAGTTTCCTACATTAGTAGGTAAATTGATCTAATTTTATTTTATAGAGCTTTGATAGTCCTTTAATAGTCTTTAGTAGTCTTTAAATTATACAAGTAATTTAAATCTTGGAACCAATATATTTGCTTATTACTTAATGTAAGTAACTATGAAAATCATATCATATTATTTGCCTTTTTAAAAATTAAAATGAATGTTAAGTAAGAAATACATTGAAAGTAAATATTAGTGTGTTGCTACTGCTCAGTGTTGAGAGACTGTGGGAAATAGAGAGAATTTGTATTAAACTACAGACATTTTTCAATGTATTTTTCAAGTTCTGAGCCACACTGAAAGGTTTCTTTCATATGGTGATGTGTTTGTTTTCAGTGACTTCAGCAGAATACATTGATTTAAACTAGCTGAGAATGTACTGATAAAATTTTATACTCTACCTGATGTAGTGTTGTGATGACTTGTCATCTGAAATCAAAATCTTATTTGATCGTTTTAATGGCAGTCTGGATCTTTGATCTAGGAATTATACTGACAGGGACGGTACAGAATCCTCACTTGTAACTTCAGTGGTTTCTTGCATCCCCTCAAGTTCATGAAGAACTGTAAAGACCCATAATTTTTTTGTTACAGTCCTGTCATCAGTGATGGAAATATTACATTTTCAGTTGCAAGACATGTGGTTTAACTGCTGCTGGATTCTACTTTTATGCTTGAAAATCCTGTTGATTGAAATGAGTTTGCACAGCTTACGCTAATGGTATGTCTGGAATGACACAGGGTCTTGTGTAGTGTGATGCAAGGACTGTTTGTAGCTGGGTGGGAGGGATTCGTTGAAGTTACTTCTTTGCACAATTTAATATCTTAAATATGAATGAACAGTATAATTGGTACAGTTTCATTTTTACAAGAGGAAGTTTATAGATTGGTTTTATCCCATTTTA